ATCAAAAGATTGAGATATGATTGTTAAAAAGGGTGTTTATGTGTGTGTGTGTGTGTGTTCATGTGTGTGTGTGTGTGTGTGTGTGTGTGTGTGTGTGTGTGTGTGTGTGTGTGTGTTACTGTCTGTCTGGCGCCTGTAGTTTTTGCAGTCAATTCACTTCTAGTCTCAAAATATCCATGATAATCTATTTATTGATACTGTTATCAAGTATGCTTTGTAAGGGAATATTTTATGGCTTTGTTGTTAAGATACTTTTGAAGTGGCTGATTAAGAGCAGTCACATTATGTAATGTCTCTCTTTTTACAGAAGATATCCAGATGAGGAAGAAGATGGCCGTGGGCGGCGACGAGACAAAGGAGCAGACGTCTCAGTTTCATCAGCGAGTGAAGAGCGAGGTTGGTTTAGGAAACGCGAAAAGAGTTCTTCCCGAGAACTAGATAGAACGAGCGAAGAGAGGCAGCCGGAGAAATCTCGATGGTTCAGGAAGAGAGACAAGAGTTCATCTCGGGGCTCTGAGGACAGGAATTTCCGTCGGGAGGATTCAGACCGCAGGCGGGACAAAGGAAAAAGTAAGGATGAGGCATCAGTGACAGGAAGTGATAGGAGAAAAGGCACAGATGCCAGTGGAAAAAGTAGGTCAGCATCCAAAGAAAAGGTAGAAAGCCTGGGTCTAAGGAATCAGGAAGAGGAAGATAGAGGAGAGCACCGGAAACGCAGTTCTAGTGATCAGTCCGTTAATCAGGAAAGACTACAAGTGCCAGAACCTACTGTGCGGAGATTATCATCCCCAGAAATTGATAATTCTGGAGTAATAACCGCATCATTACGTATTCCTGTGCCATTAGCCCAAGGAGGAGGACCCTTGGCATTCGCACAAGATAAAGAAATTCCTTTTATTGAAGACTCTAGTACTAGTGATGATAAAAAAAATCGGCAACGTTCGTCACCACATAAGGGAGGTGGGTCTCCAAGAAATGATATTGCAAGGCAACGTTCAGGTAGTAGTGACTCTTACCTTGGTCAGCCCATTACTGGCACCATGAGCTTTCAACCATTGACCAAGAAAGGCGGTGATAAACAGAGTCATGACTCTGTCCTGTCTTCATCTTCAGCAGATATTTACACGCTGTCTCCCTCGCCTCGTAACACACCCTTGTCTGATGTGTATGCTTCAGGCACATCATCGCCTCTGAGTGGCGCTGGTTCACCTCCTCTTTGGCTTAGTCCTGACTCTGGAACACCAGGACTGTCACCACCAAATTCACCCCCACCTCAGCCACGCCGTAGGGGTGAGTTGAGCAACAATCCAATAGCACATTCGGTAACTCACACCTTTGGCACCAAACCTCCAGCAACACCATCAAAAAGTAAAAGTTCCTCATCCGTTGCATCCCATGGACTTTTTCCAATAGGCCGCTCCAAAACTGCAGATAACATTAAAACAGTAACTCATCATACAGAAGGAAGTGGCACTACGCCTGAGGGTCGTGATGAAATCGCACGGGAAACACGGGGGCACAGGGACTATGGTGGGGGTCGTCGCTATACCCGCCGCCGCTACACTGGGGAAAGACACCCAACCGGACACCTTCCAGATATGAGCGCATCAAATGTTAGTGAAGGACAGACACAACTGTGGAAGCGATGGGAGATTATTGCGTCAGATCCAACAGAGCCTGAGACATTTGTCTAGCTGAGGAGCCTCCCCACGGGTGAGGAGGCTTTATATAAACGCAGATTCTGGCCTAAATGATCATTTAGAAATATCTTTCACACTCATATCTTTGCTCAAATTTTCTTTCAATAATGATTTGTGTAATATGTGTAAAAAAGTCAAGGTACTGTTTTACAGTTTGTAATGAGCTACTAAAATCTTCCTGATAATCCACAAAGGTTGATTGAAATTTACTATTCAATTAATCCTCGTGGCAGCATTATCAAAGGTTATGCAAAAATAATTATAACTGATCACAACAGAGAATTTGGGTGGACAAAAAATCAGTATGAAATGTAGATTTTTGAGTTCAGAAATGTATGAGAATATGATTCATAAACAAATGAAGGAAAATGAAATTGCCAAGCATTTCTGGATTATCAGGGTAACGCAACTTGCAAAGAAATTTTCAGTTTGTGTACTAAAGGTGGACAAGTTAATTTGATTAAAAGTGAGTGTTAGATGTACTAAGGCCACAGGTTCAATGTTGAAAGTAAAAAGAAATAACAGTATATATGATATTCCTGAATTCATCAGAAAAAAATAGTGGCTGTTAAAGAACTTTCATGACAGCTACTTTTAGAACTTTGAGAGATCAGCTTCAGTGTATTTTGTACAGAAATGTGTAAATGGTGGATAACGCTGTGTGAAAACTGTGTTTAATCGCACTTAATATGTCAGCTGTGATGTTTGTTGAGGAAGTTGCAGTCTGTAAGTCACTCTTTTGTGAAGAACCCTTTTATATAAAGTCAATGTACAATACAAAGAACTGATATATTTCTGGT